GCAGGAATCGAAGGACTATAGTATCTTAAGTTATTAGGCACGCACTCCTTTTTGTATATGTTTTACTGACTGTTTGGGAATAGATTCTAAATATTTTTCTTATTCTCTGAGCAGTCCAGAAGGAGTCGAAGAACTATGCTCTGATTTGGAAGTATCTCATACCGATATCAGGATCTTGATGCTTGCTTGGTAATCATTCTGCAAATTTGTTAATGGTCTTCCTTTCTCAATTTCATGCACAATAGTATATCCTTAAACTTTTGAATTCCATGTGGCAGGAAAATGAAAGCTGAGAAACAGGGATACTTTACACTGGTAAGGTTCATTCCCTCCTGTAGATGAAATTTCAGAGTATGAAAGATACGAATCTGTCTCCTTTTCTGTTGTGTGTGTGAGGTCGTTACTTCTCCTGATTTCAACTTGTACACTTGTAGGAGGAATGGAGAAGAGGCCTGAAAGCATTACGGGCTGATACACTTAGTAAAATGAAGAAAGCCCTTCCAGAACTCGAGAAAGAGGTTTGACCTTTTATATTTAGTTTTTTTATTTTCCCTATATATATATTGAGATCCACCGAAATTTCTAAGACTGACGTGTGTTAATATATTGTTTTCCTCCATTTCCACTTTAGGTTAGGAGGCCATCAAATTTTGCGGATTTCTATGCCTATGCCTTCCGGTATTGCTTGACAGGTACCAGGAAATTCTATTTCAGTGTCAAAATGCATGAGATATCTTGGGTTTCACCTTATGTGCTTGTGTGACCTTTTGGTTAATTGTCTTTGCAGAGGAAAAACAAAAGAGCATAGACATAGAGACTATCTGCCAACTCCTCGATATCGTATTGGGATCCACGTTCCGTGCGCAAGTTGACTACTTTGTCGAGTATCTTAAGGTTTGGATCATCTTTTATCTTCAAAGACCCCATCTGTCCCTTTTCCAAGAAGTTCACCAGTTCTGAAGCTCTCTATCTAATCAAATGCAGATCCAAAACGATTACAAAGTCATAAACATGGACCAGTGGATGGGCTTTTACCGGTTCTGCAATGAGGTGTCTTCCATGTTTATGTTTCTTCTTGGCTCGTCCCCTTCATCATCAGCGCTTTTGCATCAAGACGTGGATGTGTACTATTTCTTGTGTTGACTGTTAAATTACCCTTTTGACAGATAAGTTTCCCAGACATGACCAACTACAATCCCGAGCTTGCATGGCCACTGATTCTTGACAACTTTGTCGAATGGATGCGTGAAAAGCAAGCCTGAATGCCGTCATCTTTGCCAGGCTGCTCAAGTTTCAGCTTCAAAGCTTCCATTTTTCACTTGAGTAGGTAATAATTTCAGCTTCACACTTGTCCAGGTTTAAAGAAAACCGGGCGTATTAAACTCCTACCTGTTGGTTTACGGCTAGGTTCACTCTGGTACAAATTCCTTTAGACAAACGTCTCTGAGGCTAATCTGTGTTTCGATTTGTTTTGCAGGGTTGAATGGACAGATTAAACATCCTGGAACAGATTTCAAGTACATCTTCATCTCAGTTCCACCTTTAAAACATTGAAAATCTTCATCAAACAACCTCATTTCTTGGAAAACAAAAAGATGATAGATCGAACATATTATATTGTTATTGTTGCATGCATTGCTATAGATCTCAGAGCACTGGGACATGTTCTACTGGTTGTGCCAGACAACAGTACGGCCATAAAGGCATATATCTTTCTTTATTATTATTTTTACGTTGCTTGTTTGCTAAACTCCGTGGTTGGTGGAGGAGAGGGAAAGCTTTTTTTTTAGAAGTATACGTCAAAGTCTAGAAATGGTAAATTAAGGTACATACACAACTAGAACAAAGATCAGATCAATAGAAAGAAGAATACGCATGCTTGCACATACATGTCTCTACCAGATTTCTACACTCCTTTTCAGCAAAATGATGGAAGCAAAACAAGATTAGATTTTTTTTTAGAAGTATACGTCAAAGTCTAGAAATGGTAAATTAAGGTACATACACAGCTAGAACAAAGATCAGATCAATAGAAAGAAGAATACGCATGCTTGCACATACATGTCTCTACCAGATTTCTACACTCCTTTTCAGCAAAATGATGGAAGCAAAACAAGATTAGATTTTGAAAAAAGAAAACAGAGAAAGATGGTAACATGAACAATTTTCCTGGTCTCTCCGGCTGAGAGAGCACAAAAAATGGATTACAAAATCTTGATTCTGTATGAAGGATTTTATTTATACAAAAAAAAAGGGTTTTATAAAGTTCAAACGGATGAAGAACCACCAAGAATCAGAGGCGAAGAAGAAGGCTGCAGAGAACGGGGACGCCTTTTCCTGCTCCTGCCTCTTACCTGAACCATAGGAGACGAAGACGAAGGCGAAAAAGAGTTCACCGTCGAAGTAGAAGTCTCTCCATTACAAACACTCGTCAGTTTCTTCTTCTCGATCTCTGCTTCCGATAATTTGTCTTGTTGGTTGATTCGGTTGTTCCCAATCTTTGTCGTGTTTATGGTCGCAGGAAGCACACAGTTGCACATGAAACCTTACAGAAAAATACAGAGAACCAATGAACTTCAAGGTCACAGAAATGGAGGAGAAAGAATGGACTCAATGGTTATGTGCTCTGTTCTGTATGGGCAAAGGTGAAAACTTTAAGTACCCATATCAGTCCCAAAGCTATTTCCTTCATCATGAATATGCATGTAACTATGTATGCATCAGTAATAACCACCACAGCTATGCTCAGTAATGTATCAGCTAAAGGTTGAAACTTTAAGCCGCAGCCGAGTTTTTCAACCCTAAACCGATATATGTATCAATCCCTTTCTCTAGATATAGCAAAAACAATGAGATTTTAGGCTGAAAGCAAGTTTTCCCTCTGAATGGAAGAGTATACTTCTAAACAGAACAGAAGATTTGTACTGATACTACTCTTAGTCTCTTACCAACCAGTGAATACCAAAGTTTGCTTCTTATAGAAGCGCATTAGCAGTTACCCGTCAAGCCATCTAAGAATTATTGTGAAAATGACTAACCAAATTGCATCAATGGAAAACTAAATGAGTGGTTCGAGCCTTCGAGGAAACAGGTTACCGGAGATTTTACCGATTCTTGCGAGCCGATTAACCCAACTGGGAATAGGGTTCCCAGTTAACTTAATACAAGCCTCGTCGCAGAAATGGTTGCAGTTTTTGGTGATGAGGTTGTAAGAATTGCCCTTATAGCTATCTGCCAAATCCTCCATTACAGCTCTCACCTCTCTCTGCTCCATATCTGTCTTACCTATCAAAATCGATTTTCTGAAGGTGAAGCCTTCGCATTGCTTCGGCTCCCCTTCGAAAATTCCGGTTGTTGGGTATTCATGAGCTCCAAATGCATACTCTATGCCATGAACTGCACAAAAGGGGCAACAGATCTATGAATAATTATCATCAAATTGGTAAGGTGATAAATCTTGGAAATCTACAAAGGGGAGATTATTTTGAAGGATTTCTTGTTTCTTATTTTTTTGAACGTTTCTTTCACAGCTCGAGCCCCTTGAGTAGGTCATACATATTGCCGTCCTCACGAGCTATCTTCTGTACAAATATTATTCTCTTTCTATAATGAGGAGGTATGAACACAGCTTGCATTTTATATATTTATGGCTTAGAAGCTACATTTTTAAGGGGAAAGAAAGATAAAAGTGCAACAAATTTCTTGAAATCCACGATACTTTTCCCTCGAAAAGCAAAAGTTTCGAACTTTAATCTAAGAAATTTCCCGCAGATTCTGGGCAACCAAACGGGAACTCCACACATAATTGTCTCTACAAGTACCCGAACCACACTGGTTTTCGGGTAAAAGGCAGTTCAAAGCCTTTCAGATTAATAGAAAACGGACATTTGCTTGAACTCCACCAGAGAAGAAAAAAAATCCAATCTAACCTGATCTGCTCTGTAATCTCGAATCTATATTGGATCCGAACCAAAATACCCAGAAATTTTCAAACAAAACCCACAAACGCTTTGACCACCATGAACGAAATGAGTTTCAGAAAAGGAAAATGAAGAAGGATTAAAAGGAACAAAAATAGAGAAGCTAACCTTCAACACCGGAATGATAAACGCCGAGACCAAGCCAGTAAGCGTAGCCATTGATGGGGGTTAGATCGTAGACATTGAGATAAACCGGAACGGTCCCTTTGTCGACCAAACTCGAGCTTTTCCGGCACATCATTTTCCTTATCCACTTCAACTCCTTCTTCTTCGACTCTGTTTCTATCTTCTTCTGCTTGTTGTTCTCCCCTCTCCTAGTCTCCTCCCGTTCTCAGATTCTCCGCCTTAAAGCAAGGTTTTTCCCAGTTCGCGAATCGTAATGATGTGAGGGTTCCGTCGTTTTCAGCTTGCCTTCACCAAACACACATTTCGCCTTTCCTCAAATCTGCGACCGCGGAGAGAGATGGGAGAGAGAGAGAGAGAGAGAAGAGATTGCCAGAAAGAGAGAGAGTCACTTGTTGATATTTATACATACATTCATATATGTGTGTATGTAAAGAGAGAGAGAGAGAATTGCCGGCGGCGAAGAGTGGCCGGGCCGATCCCGGTGGAGGACTGCTGCTGATATATAAAGGCTTGTGGAATACGAAATTACCCCTCAAAACGGACCAAATTTACGCGAATGCCAACAACGTGTCATTGAGATTTGCCATTTCAATTATATTTTCCTAAATAAATTTTAATTTGTAGTCTATTAACAAATATTTTCCCTCACTATCTAAATATCTACTGTTTCCAACTTTCAATGACAAGCAAAACATAACTTACTAAAATAGATTTTATAAACTAAAAGAGATCTTAAATCATTTAATTTTATTTCTATAAAAGAAAACATTTTCTTATATGAACTTTTATTTTCACACAAAATGGCCCGTCAATAAACTGAAACTTTTTCATGTGTTTATGAGGTTGAATAGGGAATATAGTGACAGATCCCCAAATTTACATCTATTTAAATGCCTTAGATTCAATAATTTAATGCTGTATACATGTTGAATAATGGTTCTGCTGAATACTTTAATCATTTCAAATTCTTATGGGCCCACCCCTTTATAAAGCTCATTATTCCTTGTCTTTGGGCCCAACATAGTTTTTTGTCTTGGTGTCTTTTTTTCCCCAATTATAGGATAAAAATTAAACAAAAAAGTAGTGTAGTTAAATAACATTACTAATTATGGTACAAAGTAGGATTTTGTATAATTCAGAAGAAAAAAATAGTATAGCATAATCTATACGTATTTTTCAACTAATCACTACATATTAATTATAAAACCATATATAAATCACATATTCGAAAATTAACTACAAATTATAATTTCGGAAAATCAAATAATTTTATCATAAAGATTATGGGTTGGAGAATGCTTCTAAGATGATTAAAAGGTGTACGAGGGAGGCTTATGGGCAACTGAAATGACACTAATCATGATTTTAGGTGTGATTATTGGTTGTAGAACCCACAAAAATATTTTAATTATTAGGGGTCTATTCCTCTATAATCAAATACAAATACCACCTAATTGAGAGTTGTATTATTATAACATGTAAGTTGCTAATATAATAGAGAATTTAGGGAACGCAATAAAAAAAAATGTATGAAAAGATCAACATCTAATAGCCAGCCATAGTTTATAATTTCACAAAAATTAGTTTCCCCCTCTCCCGCAATATTTCATCAAAACAAATAATGGTCGATAAAAAGGGTTACATTCTACCACCAAGAAATTAAATTAAAAAACAGAAAGAAAGTAAAAAGGTTATAAAAAAAGGATGTTGATGGGAAAGCTATTAATCATATAAAGGTAACATAAGTTGGATTAAGTGTGTAATTACTTGCTAATCATTCTTTTATTAGACCAACAAAAAGTAAACACAAACTTTTTCAAGTTGATCCGCATTGAAAGCCTTTCTTCAAATTGGTTTATTTGGGAGAGTGAAAGTTGATTTTGCCTTTGGCTCATATCTCGTAGATTTTAGATACCAATAATGTTTAAAATTATAAAATTTGTAACAAATAGTTTTATAGTAAAATATGAGCTAAACAAACTTTCGACGTTTAGCGGCTATAAATGTTATACTGTAATGTCTAGTGGTTAAAAAATAGTTTGTGGAAAAAATAACTTTTATAAAGTAATTAGAAAATTATTAATAGATATCTAAAAAGGATAAATGTTAACAATACTTTTTGAATTAATGTAAGAAATGTGAAAAAAAAAATATAAGAAGCGACTTTTAAAAAAAGTTGAGTTCGTAAACTATTAAATTCTACACCTAACCCTTAAAAAGGTATTAATTAAATCTAAATGATTATTTAGCAAATAACATTGTTTCATTGGCGGTGTGATGGTATGATTAGCACTCTGAGAATCGGATTTTTTACTCAAATGACCCACTTGAGTCGCAGCTATTTCACGCGTACACCACAAAAAACATAACACATTAATTTTTTTTGAAAAGACGAAATTACCCTTAATGAATACACAATATTTATCCGTTCGAAAACAACTTCGTTATTACGACTTCGTAATTAATTCTAAAAAAGTGGCAAAAAAGTTACAATTGATTCTAAAAAAGGTGGCAAAAAAATCATCTGTCTTATTTTAGTTATATATCAGTTATATGTTAGTCGTAATAAAGTCGCAAAAAAAAAAGATATTTCGGACTTTATCAACCGAAAAGTGGGTTAAAATTGAAAAAAAAAATATTTTTTTTTTCGGTGATGTACCATGAAATAGCTGCGACCCAAGTGGGTCATTTGAGTAAAAAACCCCACTTAATCATAATTGAGGTTAAATTAGTGGTGGGTACTAATGTGTTAAACCGAACCGGACTAAACCGGATTATCCGGTAAAGTAAAACTTTCAAGCCCGCGTTCGGAAGAACCCGAGAGGAGCTTGACGGGAAGCGTCGGAGAGAAAATGCTTCGGCGCGGAGGCACGTGGGTCGAGTTCTCGACCCGGTTGAAGCTTGGGAGGATCCGAAACCTCTGCACCAGACACGAAAATGGCGGCAAGAAAGCCGAGGAGATCGAATCTAGGGTTGCTCACTACAATGAGACGTACAAGAAACTGGAGAACCTCGATTTCATGACCGCTGCGAAGATCTTGTTCACCGAGCCACCGAAGAAGAAGAAATTCGGGTAATCTCTGTCGGAAATTTTGTTCCTTTTGGTTTGATTATCGTATTTGAGGTGAATTCCCTTGGTGGGTTTTCTGTTTCTGCCATGTTTCTTTGTTGGATTTATCTGAGACATTTCGTCAAACATCTTCGTTGTTTGGTTTCTGCAATGTTGGGTTTTCGAGTATTGTTTTGGGGATGTGTCTTCAATGAACTATGAAGGAAAAATTTGCATCTTGCAGTTTGTAGGAATTGCTCTAGATCGGACTACAGGTCACTTGTATCTCTGGGTTCTATTTTGAGTTCATCTTCAATTATTTCGAAGACTTCATCAAAAGGTCATCTCTTTATATATATATAATATACCATTTCAAGTAAGATAATTTCTGAGGCAGCATCCTGGTTTGGATTTATGTAATTCAATCACTGATCCTGATACTGATCAAATGTGAACTTTAACTAGTTCTTGCGAGGTTCAGATCGGTTTTCGTCTCAGTTTTGTAGTTAGTTTCTGATAGGTTTCTTATGATGGCAGGTTGGATTTCCATCTCGTCCAACTTTTCTTCGCTTGCTTGCCATCGTTGGGTATGGCAGTTTACTTGCTTTGACGTTCTTCGATCTGATATGTTACAAAGATTTGTTAATAATGTTATTGATGGATGAGTTTCTTGTAACAGCTGTATATCTAGTTGCTCAGTATGCTCGTCGTAAAATGAAGCTGATGGATGCTGTGAGTGTGATCATCCGGTTCCTTGTCTGAATTTGGATCCAAGATCATATTATCCTTATCTAATTTGGGTACAAGATTATATCGCTGCTTGGGTGATTTTCTTTTTCCCAGGAACTGGAAGAGAAGAAGAAGAAGAAAGAAGATGAACAGAAGGCAAGAGAAGAAGCAGAAACGGTGGCACTGGAAGAACAAGAAAGATCCAAGTCCGAAGCAGAGCTTGCAGAAGTGAAAGAGAGACTGATCAAGATCGAAAAGACCATAAAGGAGATTGTTGTAGAATCAAAGAAACACTCAGGTGACAATCCATCTACAACCCAAGCTCAAAGTGGGAGATGCAAACCGACAGAGGGATCACAAGATAAATCAGAATCGAGCAAAGAAAACCCGGGAAAATAGAAGGCTGTTGAACGGAATCCGCATCCGGGTAAAGGGAAAGCAAATCAACCAGCACCAGATTCAGACAATCAGAAAGGAAAGATGCGGAATGGTAGATGAACATTCTCTTCATTTTGTTCCTTCCTATTGTTTTGATCCTTGGTGTAGTTCTTACAAGTAACTTATGACAATATCATTTCGCTTGTAGTTATAGTTTACAATCTTACAGTTTCGTTTTTTTGTCCACTTGAAGGTATTTTCGATTTGGTATGACTATTACAGTATAATCCTTTTGCAAATTACCAAAGTGCAGATGCTATGTCATCTCTAGTTGCAGGCTATGATACATATACGTCTGATTCCTAATAAATTTCTTTTTTTTTTGTAAGAAAATTATTTTATATATGGACGGTGTAGATTAGCTTACACCAAAACAAAAGCGGCAAATTCACCGTACGATGAAACCCCTTAAACCCATGGAAGATGGAGACTTTTTTAGATGTTCGCTTAAACCCTAGAAAGTAGAATCTCGTTCTCCTTCACTGCTGCGATCTTTGTCTCTAATGGCTCGCGTCTTCAGATCCCTGAGGAGAACAATCCTTCCTTATTCGTCGTCCTCGATTCCGTGTCGGAACCCTCGAATCTACCCCCGCGCTGATCGAAAATCTGATATCTTCATCGTCTCGAAATCCCTAAGCACGGGGAGTTATGTATCGGAAATGCGGAAGTCCGCTTTCGAGGGCAACATTTTGCGGCTTATCCGCAATGAGATTCAGTACGAGCTCGATCACTCTCCTCCTCTACAGGTACTCTTAAGACCTTTCTCGTTTTCATTTCGCAAAGTACTCGACTTTCTCGTTGTCCCCCCCCCCCCCCC